CAAAAATAAACTTCCATTCAGGTGGCTTCCACTTTTACACCCTTCTCGCTGTGTGTGGGGGATTTGAAAGGGCGTAGTTAGACGGTGACACCACACAGATGTCCCCGTTACAACAAACTGAAGCAAGGGGAAAAGTGGCGGAAGGCAGATTCGCATACCGGGGTGGCGCAGACCATGTCAGTGTAGTCCTGCATGGAATTGAGCCCCAGCAGCTGGAGGTTCTTCGTCATCAGCACAGAGGCGCACCGGTAAAATGCCTCGAGCTTGGCCTCGTCCTTATTTGGAGGAATGAGATTCTTTTTGTTGCCCTGGTAGAATATATTCTGCACCTCATTCATCCATCTGAAAAGTAAAGTGTACATTTGACTCCAGAGTCCTGAAAAAACACCCAGGCATACAGGTGCAGTAAAGGACCTGCAGACAAAACTGCCTTATAGGGCCGCCTATTTCCATCACCCAACTGTCTTACGGAATCGGTGGTTAAACATTTAATTCTTGGTTAACGAGTGTCAATGAACATTCAATTGCTTTGAGAATGATCAAGGGATATAAACTTAAAGTTACTTAGAGTTGTTTTAATGAGCTAAATGGAATCAACTCCATCAATATAAACTCCTGTTGCCTAGGCAACTGATGTCCACTGATGACAATTCAATCTTATATTGGCGGAATTCAATGAAAGAGGACAATTCGACCTTATATTGGCGGTATTTACCGAAAACCAGGGAAAGTCGATCTACTGAAAATGTAAAAGTAGTTTTTTACTATAAGTCAAAGGAAAACAGGACCTCGAAAGACAATCCTATTAATCTGCAAATGGAGCATATATAGATCTTTGAATATCATTGCTGGCGAGGCTCAATGAGTTGTTGGTGGCGGGTGAGTCCAGTTTTCATGCACAGGACAGTAGGTATTGGTGGAGAATAACCGCAGAACTTTTACGGGTTAAGTGCAGGAGCACATTAAGCCGCAATTAATTTTTCAGTACGTAAAATTTATAGCTGGAATATGCTGAATTTGCTCTGATCTTTAAATACTTTCATTGAGAATTTCGCATAAGTAAAATGGCAGGGGAGAAATGGACTCCGTGAACTCATTAAGCTGATAGTACTATCACCTCAACATTCAAACCCTTCAGTGTTGGACTGAGAAAAATCCCCTCTGTCCAAGGCATAGAGAAAAAATATTTCTCGCGCAAAGCAGTTTAGGAAATTCAGGAAGTCAAGGTAGGTGAACGAAATTTTTCGATTTATTCATCATAAGGCAATACAATAATATAAAGAGAGAGTAGAGTTTACAAAAGTTTAAGCCAATAGAGGAGAATATGCGAGTTCCAGGAAGCAGTTCAGAAGAAGATGCGATCACTGGAACAAGGGTTTTATTTTCCTGACGTTTCGGATTCCGTCGAGAATCCTTGCCCATAGGTAGTTGTAGGAAAGTCGGAGACATGCGCAGATAAGGGTGATACATGCACAGGTTGCACGGGTTCTACCCATTCTGCAGCCTGTTTACATGATCCTCTGAGACCAAACGAGGACATGCGCCGGGTAGGTCTTGCTCATCTATAAAATCAAGTGCTATGGCATAGATAGAACTTGCAATATAGAATCCTGCATGGGCAGTCAGCTTACTGTATCAGAACTAGTGGTGAATTCCATACGTTCCAGTAGCCTGGCGGGTAAATCGACCCAAGGGTGATTAAAGTCACTGCGCCCGGTGGGGAGGGCTCGTAGCTCAGGTTGCTAGAACGTCGACTGAAATAAAGCCTTCGCCTTGCGTTTTTCACAGCTGGGTCAAATGGATAATTGAAATCTGCCAAACGCCTCCTAATACTAAAATCCGCCTTGCCTAAGAGTAGGCAAAAGCTGCGTTCATAAAAATGCAAAGAAAGTTTTTTGCCAAATTCTGATCGTCGCGGATGTCTACTTACTTTTTCAGGAGAGTCTCCTTGGCAGATTCGATGCTCTTCACGCAGGTGTGTTGAAAACTGGATAACTCAAGCGCACTCCCCTTTCGAAAGAATTCCTTGCTGTCAACCAGTCGCAACGAGCTAAAAACAGAAGCCAGGAAAATTAATGTCCGCCCGTTTAAGAGGACATAATAAGTTGCATTTGCTGCATGTCAAAATCACCGGCAACTCAGTCGCCCCGCTTATTTGGCCAACAGACAAAGGCAAAAGGACTTGTGCGTCTTTAGGTTACTCAGCTGGTGGAGAGTTAACATCAGTGTACTAGACTAGCTTACGTAGTTTCCAATATTTTGTGCGACAGCCCTTACTATAACATAATTCGGCTTGCTCCATAAAATGTAGTACGGATAAGGCATTAATGCCTAAAATAATCGTTAGCTATCCGTAAAAGACTATCTGAAAAAAAGTCATTTAAAACAAAGGCTGGATGAGGTACTTTTATAAAGCTGGCAATTTTTATCTGATGATGCAAATTAAGCTACACAACGAATATACTCGGGTTTTATGAAAACCGTGTCGTTCGTTGGGCATAGCCACGTGTCAAATAAGTACAGCCATTCAAATATATTACATTACATTATACTACTCATCATAAGCGAGTAGACATGTTTTATTACGATGTTGGCCAGCCCTCTACTGCTCTGTTTTCATCCACAAGCATGTAATTGACGTACTTTTTTCAATTTTTATTTCTATCCATATATTTCCTATCATTTTGTTGCGAGCAGAGTTTTCGAAGGCGTTTTCCTATCTTTCCATCAATAGACTGATACTGATATAGAGGAATAGATCCAGACGAATATCCAACTTCAAGTGTATGCACACATGGTACAGAAGAAGGAGATTTTGTGAAAAAGGCAAAAGACTGCGTACTTAAACTGCGAGAACCATAGATCCAGGACTTGAGCCATGCAACTGTTAATTGCGTGTAAATGCTTCTGGCTGAAACGCAGGGCGGCGAGAAATGAGTTGTGCCACGGTTTGGGCACTATGGTCAATTCTATGCGATGGGCCGGCATGAAATCAGCCTCGTCCTCGGCATTTGACTTTGACGTAGAAACGCCTCCTGCACTTTCGTTGGGATCCTTCAGCACAAAGTCCACAATAGCCTTTTTGACACTCAGGATGTAGTCTTCCCGTATTTCGTCTTCAATCTGCTCCATCAACTTATGATTTGCTTCGGCCTTAAAAAGTGCATAGAGGCATGAATTTCAGGTTCTGCTGTGACTTACCTGACAAAATTTGACATTGTAACTAAAATAAAAGCAAGCCAGCCTTCGTTTTTTTGCATTCTCTCTATGCTCCTGATTTAGATGGATGTTCTATGGATTAGACTTCTCTAAAGCCAATCGTCAGCTTAAACAAGAGTCAAGAATTTACATTTCTAATCCGGAATGTAAGAAAAAATGTCGGTTGTTGTTCTTGTTGATAATAAACGTAAGATGGATGACTGCTGTGATCGAAACTAACGTTGTAAATGTATCCATCAACGCGTATTAACGCAAGTTACGTTATAAAAAGATAACCCTCAAAACTCCCCGTTGTATTAGGCTATACGGAGCGATAATTTAAATAACCGATATCGGTACTACGAATGATTACACTGACAATAGATATCCGGTCAGTTATTGCATAATTTTTAACAAGGTCGTCATTTTCATTAATACCATCCCTCTTTTCAAAGAAGCTGACTTTAGGAAATGATAAAACAATTCCGTTCAAGGAAAGGCGTTCTTTGGGAAAATGAGTAAGTTTATTCAGTAAATTTTTGACACTGGATCCTTTCAGTTTATACAAAACAATTCCTACTTCCAAATTGAGTTCTGATCTACCACACAATAAGATATCTTATTCCAGACATAAAACTAGCAATACTCGACACATCAAAGTTTAAAGAGTAGTGCATTTAATTGCCAGCCAAACGACTGGAATAAAGAACGGAGTCGATAGTTGCTAAAATACTATACTGAGTGGAACTTAAAGACAGGAGTAGGTTCGACGACAGAGGAAACATGTGAATGAGATCAAAAAAGGAAAGGCATTTAACACATAAAATCAGTAAAGGTGAGCTTTTTCGGAGAAAATGTCCAAATGTGAGATCCAAAGCCTCTTACTGCATTGATATTTAGATGAATTAATTCAAGCGCATTGGGTAAATAAGGAGAACTTCTTATGGCCATGGTACAGATTAGCATTTAAACCTCCTTAGGTAAATCCTGTCCGAAATTGATGGAGTCAGTAGAGTCCGACAAGGAACTAAACTTTTGATCCGTGATAATTCTATTACTTGAGTGGACTTAAAGGTCTTTGATACAGATCTACAAGTTTCTCAGTTGATGGATTAGCTCATTTGCGTAGTTCTTTCCAAGCGCATTGGGTAAACATGGCATTCACAATCAGCATTCATGTTTAAAATCCCAGCATATTCAACCGGAATTTCTACATTTTACATTCAACTTGTAAACACTGCGGTGGAGAAACAAAGCCCGAACCGTTTGTGACTTGCTGCTATCGCATTACAACGTAGATTCCGAATTGGCTGCCTGGGATACCTAATTGGGGTATTAAATTGCATATTCAGAAAATATTGCAAGAGCAGGGCTTTTCTAGACAGTTGAGGAGGAAGCGAGACATCGGGATTGTTGCCCCACTAAAGTCCCACAATGTTTGAAGCAGCGCGGTCTAAAGCGATAGTAGAACGGTTTCAAAAATCAGATAGTATTGTTGGCAATGGTATCTGCCTACTACCAGCTGTTACAACTGTCAGAGCCTCTGTCGAGACCCAAAGCAGAGCGGGGTAGATGAGTTCCGTTAGGGGTCAGGTGAACGTTCGTAAATGAATTTGGTAACCCTTACACTCTAACACTGATTAACTTTGATAAAATAGCAACACACGTAGTACTTTTAGAATTACATTTACTTTGACCTGGCAGAATACTTAGCAGGGGAGTGAAGATTTGAATGTAACAAGCAAATACTCTGCTTTAAAAACAGTTTTGAAAGATTAAAAAAATACAGGGTAACTATTACCTTAACGGAGGCACGAATGCGCTTCTTCATGTTGTTCATCCAGTATTCTTCCATAGGAGCTACGTGGTCCGTATCGATTCCGTTGTTAATATAGTAATAATACCGCTAAAGGTTGCATGAACTTAAAAAACAGGAGCAAACAAACCAGAATGGCTTTCTCCATCTGAGCTACACCTGCTCCGTGCTCAGTCAGTGGCGGTAACCTCGTATTAAAACGGCTCTCTATGACGGGTTGACTTTCACCCTCTCTGTCCGGGAGTCAAAGTTTACTTGAAAATATGAACCTACGCTATCATCTCGACGAGGTGCTTTCTAAAGGTTTCACGTTCCTTTTTGACACGTTTCGACTGTTCGTATTTGATGTCATCCTTGGATCGATGCACCTTAGCTCCGGGCTCTGCATTAAAACATTACGAAAGTAGGCACAAAAGTTAGATCTTGATAATATCCTTGTAAGAATTTCCAGTAGTATGTATTTTTCACTTTTATTCTGGTTAATATTAAAATAACTTGCGTGTGACTTTATAAGATACACTATAACACCGAGTGTTGTAAGCATAAAATCGATTCCGTCAGAGATCGACTGTTGAAATAAAATATCCAACAACTTTATTTAACAGAGAATCGTTCGCAAACAATAGCTCACTACACAGCGTATGCAGATGATTATATTCTTTCCGTACTGTACAGAGAACTTGCAGAAATTTGGCTAACTATGTTTCAGCGAATTAACGGACTCTATAATCAGCAGTTATTATTTGATTTGTTAAGTAGGAAGTTTCACTAGCTGAAAACATTGCCTAATGCCTTTGAGGCTCATGAAGCAAAGTGCCGAGAAAATTATTAAAATATTTCATATCCTCGAATAGGCTTAAGTATAAGCAAACTTAGGCGCCCGATAAAACCATATACTATGAGATGTTCAACAGGGGTTTATCAGACACCTGGCTGTTGACAGTATAAACACTGTATGTGAAAAGAATGACTGATTATCAACTTTAAGTTATAAGCGAAGGTTCATGAATTACACAAAAAGGCTAGATTCTAGCAAACACACTGCTATCTCATTTAAAAGGTAAATCACGCATGCTTCGTGTTTATAACTTAACGGCGTTTGTTATGTAAATGCTAATTCTTTTGTAATGCACTGTATCGTTTTTCCAAGAGTAGGAAGTCGTTTATTGCAGCAAGAACAGTTTTTAAGCCATCATCATTCCACCTTTTTGCTCAGTTTGCAGGAAAAATGGACCAATCTGAAGGATGAGTAGGTACTTGTTTATGGTGAAGCTACACGGATGGCTGCTGAGCAGCGACTATTGATACACTGGCTCAAATATTTTGTCGACAACAAAAATAACGCTTATCAGTCCATTTCTGCCATTATCGACGAAAACTGCAGAGTGTTGGCTGAAGAAAACCTCTCTAAATATCAAGCGTGCTTGAAGTGTAACCAGTGATATCCAATATGGCTGTCAATGACACCACTGGGTCATTACATAACAAAGAAAAATGAAACAAAGCTATGCAATTTAATGAATGAAATTCACAGCGCTGGTTGGGATAAAATTTTTTCGGGAATAACGTCGAGCTATTTGCTAGTAGTTTCTTGGAAATCATTGCTGCTAACTAGCACTTCTTGAGAATTCCTAAAAGGCCGCACATAAATATTTCTAATATGAAATCCGGAGATTTTGTCCAGGTTTTGGCACAAATCCATACATTACTAACGGAAAAGGCCTGATGAACTTTGCATAACAATGCCAGATTGCACATCAAACCCATTTGCTGTATATCTGTGCCCATTTCGCCATATTCAACAACTCTCTTGCCCAGCTAGTGTTGATTTTTAAGCAGCCGAGTAAATACAGTAGCCGCCGAAGACCGTGCAACGGTAATTATGAAATTTGGCTAGACA